TTTTTTTTTGAATTCCCAGTGTGTTGTAGAGGTCGGTTACTAGGCACACATTGATCGCCAGGAGCAGTCAGCCATGGTCATCCTGAGGGAACAAGGCTACCTTCCCATCCCATCCTCAAATCAATACGCCTAGCGCACCCCCTATCTCTATTGTCCTACCTCCAGCACTCAGGACCATTACCCCTATCAAGGGGAAAGTGTCTGACTGCAATTGTAGCCTGACCTAAATGAATCTGCCTCCAATCACGTCCAGAGCTGAGTACGCCCTTATTAGGTTGTACAGGGTAGTTGGACAAAGGCTAAGCTTTGGTGGTCTATCTCTCCATCTAATCCCAGTGTCTGATTTCCGCACGGTATGTCTGAAACCTTTGCTCTAGGCCCTAGGACACCCTAAGCTCATCAAAATACAATGCTTTACTAGACTTATCTAAATGGCAAGCAGAGACCGCAACGGGTAACCGTTGCCCGTACCCGACCATACCCAACTGTAACCGCCAGGTTACAGAGCGGGTATGGGTACCCCTTCCAAAGGGGTAGTTGGGTATGGGCAGGCACAAACCAAAGGAGGTGGTTATCAGGGCGGGCACAGTTGCCCTTTTTGGAGATCATGGGTGGGTAGGGTCAGGCAGGGGTGGGGGTGAAAAAAAAAAACAGGGTATGGGCGGTCATGAAAAAAAAAATAAACGGGTACGGCCAGGTACAGTTGGCCAAAACCCAAAACGGGTGGGTACGAGCGGGTATAGTTTCCCATCGGGTAACTATGCTATACCCACGCATTCCTTCTCCCCCGCCCCCCGCCCCCACGCCACCACCTCGTCAATTTTTTTTTTTCCCCTGCCAAGTTCGAAAAGTTTTATTTTTTTCTTGGTTTGGCGCCGCCTCTCGGGTCGGCCTGGTTCTACTCCCGACTTCGAGTCAGGCCTTTCAAGTCGGCCTGGATGTAACTTCCCGAATTCCAGTGGCAGATTCATTGCCTCCCGCCCGTTTGAGTTGCATCCCCTCACGGTCCCACATTCCCTGCCCGTCATTGATGTCCCCTGACTCCCGAGCCCCTACCCGTTGTCGTCGTTGCCGCCCTTGTTCGCCATCATTCGAGTCCGTACCCGTCGTCGTCCTTGCCGCCCTTTGTTCGCCATCTTCCGAGTCCGTACCCGTCGACGTCCTTGCCGCCCGTTGTGGCCTTGCAGGAACGATCAGCAGCTGTGACCTTGCAGGAACGATCAGCGGGAGTCATCAGCGTCGTCGCTCTCGCAGCTGTGACCTTGCAGGAGGGAGTTATCCAGAGCGGATTCAGGAGGGAGGCGGAGACAACACAGGAAGAGGCAGGCACATAAGGTGGGCGACTCTCTCTCTCTCTCTCTCTCTCTCTCTCTCTCTCTCTCTCTCTCTCTCTCTCTCTCTCTCTCTCTCTCTCTCTTCCGTCCGTAGCAAGTGAGTTGAAGTGACCCGTTCCCCCGTTCGTCTATGCCCCGTCGGCCTCTCTCTCTCTCTCTCTCTCTCTCTCTCTCTCTCTCTCTCTCTCTCTCGTCCGTAGCAAGTGTCCCGTTCCCCCGTGCTTCTATGCACCGTCGGCCTCTCTCTCTCTCTCTCTCTCTCTCTCTCTCTCTCTCA